TGGAAACTGTGGGGACAGAGTATGCCACCCCAGCCGGCAGCTGTATATCTTTCAAACAGTGGTTCCACAGGCCAAATCCCGGTCCAAATTATTTATGACTCCCATTGAAACCGGCAGGACCCGGGCGCCCATCTCTGAGGTCAGCAATGGGCCTCTTTGTTGGACACAGGTCATCAGGAGAGGGCTCTGGCTGTGACTGCTGTGTGAACCTCCGCTGCCGTAGAAATGGTTATGTAACTTGAAACAGTAATGACATTTTGCCGAAAAGTGCTTTTTAATTGCTATGTCTTCATTATTCTCTTTCAAAATTGCCCAGGAGATTCTGCCTCAGAGACAGCGAGGCATGTTCTGCGTTTCCATTTTTAAAGAGCAGCCAGTTTCATGTTTCAGCTGCTCCCAGGAACCACCCCGCCCCCAGCCCCAAACTTTGTGTTTTCACTTGCTTTAAGCAGGGTAGGTATGACCGCCTTTTGTATCCTTGCCAAATAGAGAAATGATTTGACGCAATTTTCTAAAAATGCTCTCCCCAAATTTCTTTTGGGATAGAACCAAGAATAGAATATTTTATCCCTTACAAAAGGGAGGAATAAAATGATGAGCAAGCTCTAAAATGGGACTGAGAATATAGTCTATAGAGTTCCTTCCTTTAAGCAAGAGAAACGTTACCCCAATCCGTAGACCTAGTTGTCTGTTGGGGATAGGGATCAGCCAAAAATAAATTTTGCTTTGGAAGCAAAAAATGGCAATACAGATAAAATGACTCAATACTGCTTGCTGTGAGACAATCTTGACTCCCTTTGAGAAAGGAGTTTACGGCTCGCCTTGTTTTACCCACGCCCCCCTTTGGCACCTGTACTCTCCGTACAGTAGCCTTGCTGAACGAATATCCATCCTTTGGTTGTTGGGATGTTATTTACAGTCTTGCAGTGAACCATTACCCTGCCATAGAGCTCAGTGAGAACATCCTTCAGTCTGGTTCAATACGCACAGGAAATTTGAATACCTTTTTCCCCGCTTTTAAAATGAAAGCCCTGTATTTGAAAAATACCTCCCTTGAATGCCCTTTTCTTCTGAATACTCCTGAAGATTGTGTTCAGCCTTTACAAAATTTCATCGCGGGAGTAGTATCATTAGCATAAAAAAAAAAGAACAGATAATATCTACTGCTTGTACCAGGAACTGTTGCAGGAACTGTGGGAATTCTATTATTTCAACTTCTTGACAACCTTGTGGTGGTGTTTGTTGTGGGCTTAGGCCGTTCCAACTTACAGAGACTGTACACACAACAGAATGAAATCTTGCTGAGTGTGACACCATCCTCTCAATTGTTGCTCTGTGTGAGCTCATGGTTGCATTGTGTCAATGCATCTCCCTGAGGGTCTCCTCTCTTTCACTGACCTTTCACAGGGACTCATCCCTGATATAATGTCCCCAAAGGCCTTCAAAGGAAGGCTTGCCAGCTTCACTTCCAAGACACATTCTGGCTGTACTTCTTTAAGACACATTTGCTTGTTCTTCTGGTGTCCATGGTTTATTCAGTATTCTTTCCAGCACTGTAATCCAAATGCATTAGGAGTTTTTCTCTTTTATTGTTCAAGGTTGACATGCTTATGAATGAGGCCATTGAAAGTTGCATGATTCAAGTCAGGCTTACCTTAGTCCTCAGTGTCCCCTTTTCTTTTTAATATTTAAAGAATTCATTCGAAGCAGATTTGCCCTATGAAATGCTTTGCTTAATTTTTTTTTTTATTTTGACTGCTACTTCTCTGAGCATTGATTGCATATCCAAGTAAAATGAAATCTTTGGCAACACAAGTATCTTCTCCATTTATCTTGATATTACTTCTAGGTCCAATTATGAGGATATTTACTTTTTTTATCTTGAGGTGTAAGCCGCCCTGAAGGCTGGAGTCTTTGATCTTCAAGTAAATGCTTCAGGTTCCTTGCTTTTCAGCAACCACTGGCTGTGCTATCTGCATAGTCTAGGTGGTTAATGAGTCTTCCACCAATCCTAATGCCAGAGTTTATATAATCTAGCTTCTGGAACTCTTTGTTTAACATACAAATTGGACAAGTATGGTGAAATGATACAGCCTTGACACACACTCTTCCTGATTTTAAACCGTGTACTCTCCTTGTGCTATAAGAATGACTACCTTTTAGTCTATGCACAGGTTTCACAGGTGCAATTAGATACTCTGAAATTCCCATTCTTTACAGTGCTACTTGTAATTTATTATGATCCATACAGGCAGATGTCTTTGCATAGTTGATACAACACAGCTAAACACTTTTCTGATTGTCTGTGCTTTCAGCCAGAATCTATCTTATACCAGTATTAGAAACCATTATTCCACAACCTCTTCTGTGTCCGGCTAGAATTTCTGACAGTTCCCTGTCAGCTGTGCTGCTCCAGCCATTTTAAAATAACCTTTTGCAATATTTTACTTGAGTGTGACATTAATGCCAAATTTTTTTATTATTTTTACATTCTATTAGATCTGTTTTCTTTGGAATGGATAGCCATATGGATCCTTTCCAGTCAGTTGGCCAGGTAGTTGCCTTCCAGATTTCTTGGTATACACAAGTGAGTAATTTCAGCATTGCTTTTCTTTTGTTGTAATGTTTCATTTGATTGTATCATCAAATGGGTTGTTGAATTTTTCACCAGTGCCTTCAGTCCAGGCTGGACTTCTTCTGTCAGTCCCATCAGTTCTTCACCTTTCCAGCTCCATTGAAATGGTCGGGCATTGATCAGTTCTTCTTGACTGTGGTATTTCTTCCATCCACTTTGGATACTTGCCTAGTTCAGTACTTCACTTATAGTTGTCATGTGCTGTCCAGTCTGGCCAACTCATAGCTGACCATACCCCACCCCCCAGCGGGTTTTTAGAGGCAGTACGTCACATGGGAGGTGATTGCCCATTTTCCTCCTGAGGAGCTTCTGGTGGATTTGAACCGAGTGACTTTGGGTTGTCAGTGTGCCTCCTTGCCACTCAGCGTACATGGATCAGAATTTTGCTCATAGAATCTTTCAATATTGTGATTAGAGCTTGAATTTTTTTTTCTTTAGTTCTTCCAGCAGGAGTAATGCCAAAGACAGTCCTCCTGTCTGATTTTCTATCTCTAAGTCTTTGTACATTGAGTTATAATACTTTACTTTGTCTTTTTGATCCACACTTAGAAATCTTCAGTTAAGCTGTCTTTATATCATCATTTCTTTATTTAATTTGGTTACTATGTGCTCAAGAACATGATAAAAAAAGTACTAAGAACACTTTCATTTCAGACTCCAATTTTCTGTCCATGAAGAAAACACCTAACTTGGTGAATTCTGTAAATTACAACAATTAGGCTACTAATGCTTAGAAAACTGAGGAAGCTAGTGGACCAATGATTCAGATTCTAGATATGCGTACTCCACATGGCAATCATCTTTCAACATCGACAGTAATGACAGCCATAATCAAACGAAGGGGAGAGAAAGGAAAGAAATAGAATAGAATGGAAAAGAAAGAAAAATGTAAAATTGAGGGAGAAAACCTCTGCAAAACGAAACGGAGCTGCTAGCGTAGCTCTGGAAAGGCAAAAATATTCCTGGAACAGGTCAAATATTTGGTTCAACAGGATCTCTCCAATGTAAATTACAAAACATCTGATAACAAACTGAATTTAATCAACTTATTGGAAAGACTCAGAACAGGAATAAACAGCAAGCAGTATCTGATGAACTCTTTGAAAAGATAGCAAAACTTCAGCCTTGATAACAGTATTATCTCACAGCAACTGTTTGAGACCAAACATGTTGTCCTTCAAGGGCACAAACCTGAGAGCATGAATTTGGTAATAATCAGGGGTCATTTAATGGTCCAAATGAAAGAATGACTTCTATGAACAAGAAAAGTTATAAACCTTAAAAAAAAAAAAAAACAAGTGAAAAGGTGAATTTGACACTGGATCTTGCTGAGTTGGTTTCTGAAAATAATAAAGATAGGATATTTTGATTTTTTGGAGAAGGCTTACTTTGACAACTTCAATTACATCAAGTCTCAGAGAAATTAGATAAATTGAATCAAGACATTCCAGTGATTCACCTGATACTGAAATGGACGTTATGCATAGAGGGAAGGGAAAAACTTAATTCTGTGATTGTTTTGATGAAAGAAGACTTACCCACCCTCAACACAGACCCTCCCGTTTCCATACTTTTGAAAGGTGTTTAAACTCAAAAGAGACAACTCCAGTGGCACAGGTGAGTCCTGTGATGCTGTCACTTCTGCCACCACTACCGGCTGAGCTGCTGGAAAAAATTTGAGACACACTTTCTCCCCACATCCTGACATCAAAGTAAAATGGATGCAGAAATTTAGAATATCACAAAAATTAGTCCCAAGTGGGCTCCTGTGGAAAGCGAGCATCTGATTTAGAAGAAAATTGGAGGAAGTAGAGCTTTACCCCTTCCTATGGCCTGTATTTTATATCAGTTTTTGCCCTTTAACAAATACTATTTCACTTTCCAATCGAAAGGCATGTTAGGGCAGTGTGGACCATTTTGTGACAGTATCTACTCATAGATTTTCTAAAAGCTTTTTGCAAAAAAAGAGCCCTCAGTAATTATATATTGTAATGTATTTTGATTTTCTTCCATATTTGAGTTTTTTTATAATATTGTTCTAACACTATTTGCCATTTAAAAGGACCAGTTGATGTTATGAATGCTTTGAATAGGAACAATCCTCTTGGAATAAAGTAACAGACTCAAGTACACATTTCAGAGAAGGCCAAGGTCGTGATCTGAAAAGTTTAAATATAAGCAGTGCCAGTGAAAGCCTCACAGATGTGTTCTGTCTGAATCTTGGCAGGCCCAGAATTATTATAGTTACAATACACGGGGAAAAAAATCTAGCAGCTTAAAATTCCTACGCATCACCTTTGGAAACTGTTAATGAAACACCCTTTTTAACTTTTCTGTATCCTCTTTTTTTGCTATTCTCAAACAGGTCTTCAGATAATCTTCCCTCAATATCTGCAAGAGAAGTTTGTCCAGTCGGCCTTGAGCTACATCATGTGCAATGGTGAGGGGGAGTATGTGTGCCAGAACAGCCAGTGTAGGTGCCAGTGTGCAGAGGAGTTCCCGCAGTGCAACTGCCCCATCACCGACATCCAGATCATGGAGTACACGCTGGCCAACATGGCCAAGTCCTGGGCCGAATCCTATAAGGACCTGGAGAATTCAGGTAGAGAGCCTAACTTAGCACTATTGCATGACTTCCCAATCCAGAGAAGGGAGCTTCTCTATACCTCTTTCATCTTGGAGGGTCCAAAGTCTGGTATAGTTCCTGCCAAGAGGAATGTGTTCAGTAGATATGCGTTGGTCTTAATGATGAAAGCGGTAGTTGTATTTGTGATAATATGATGTATTTTCTTTGGTATATGCACAAGACAGGAAGACCGAGCTACATAATAAATTTCTGGACAGAGTCCATGGTTTTGTATTGATTTTTTTTTAAATTTTATTAGTATTAATGAACATTTACAGACAGGGATTTTGGGTTTTCATTCCTTCATTGCTGTACCATTCTCTCTACCCTCTTCCCCAGTTTGTTCTTCTTCCCCTGCCCTCCGATTGTCTGTTTTAATTGTCCAATTGCCACAGTGCTTGTCAAAGCCAGTTCTGTTTAATCTCCTTTGTCAGTGTGTCCTTTGCCATTCCCTATCTCTCCTCCCTGAGAGAGACTTCACCCTGATTCATAAGGGAAAGGGGATGGTGTATTCTCTTAGCTACTTCCTGCTGAAAAGGGACTCTGTGGGTTTCAGGGTGAAGATCTTCTCTCACTACTCTAAAGGGCCCCTTTGGCAGTAGGAAACACATAGACTATTATGGAGATTGATTTTGGAATTTAGATGCACTGTTATTAATTGTGCTTAGCCGTACATGTTCATATCCCTGAAGATGTATCATGGGGGGGTTGCAACCCTCCCCCAGGTCCCCTCCACCATGTAGCCATCACTCTAGACTCCTGTGATGACAGAAATACCTAGTCACCTATCTCTTTTAAACAGTTTTCTCCCTCCTCTGCTTCAGTGCAGTGTACATTATTGAACCCATCTTACTCAGTCTCTCCCCAACCCCGAGGTTAGTCCCATTCTACAACAGTGGCATCATGCAATATTTGTCCTTTTGTGACTGGGATATTTCCCTCAGCATAATGTTCTCCAGAGTCAACCATTTTGAATAATATTGGATAAGTTCCTTGTTTTTCAATGCAGCATAGTATTCCATTGTGTGAATATACCACAGTTTCTCTAGCCATTCGTTTGTTGATGGGCACTTAGGTTGTTTCCAACTCCTTGCTATTGTGAACAAAGCTGCAATAAACATGGGTGTGCATATATCTGCTTGGATGTCAGCTATGGTCTCTTCAGGGTATATTCCCAGTAGTGGAATTGCTGGGTCAAATGGTATCTCTATTTGCAACTTTTTGAGAAAGCGCCATACTGCTTTCCACAGGGGTTGCACCATTTTACACTCCCACCAACAGTGAATCAGGGTTCCAGGTGCTCCACTCCACAACCTCGCCAGCATTTGTTGCTTGCTGTTCTGTTAAATGTTACTATTTTGACTGGGGTGAGATGATATCTCATAGTTGTTTTAATTTGCATCTCTCTTAGGGCTAGGGATTTTGAGCATTTTTTCATGTGCTTGTTAGCCATCTGAATGTCGTCTTCGGTGAAGTGCCTATTCATATCCTGTGCCCATTTTTCTATTGGATTCTTTACCTTTATCTTGTTGTGGTGCTCAAGTATTTCATAAATTCTGGATATAAGTCCCTTATCTGATATGTTATTACCGAATACTTTTTCCCAGTCAGTGGCTTCCCTTTTTACCCTGTTGGAGAAGTTTTTGGATGTGCATAGGGATTTGAGTCTTAGAAGATCCCATTCATCTACGTTATCTTCTCCTGGTTGTAGGTTTTCCAGGATACTGGAAGACTGTTTATGTTGTGGATTAGGACTTCTAGTGTTGTTCCTAGCTTTTCTGTAATGAAGTTTATAGTCCTTGGTTTTAGTCCTAGGTCCATGATCCACCTTGAGTTGGTGGTTTTTGTGTATGGAGTGAGGTGTGGGTCTTGCTTGAGTCTTTTGCAGATATTTTTCCAATTTTGCCAACACCATTTGTTAAAAAGGCTGTCGTCTCTCTCTCTCTCTCTTTCTTTCTATCTATCTCTATCTCACAATGTCTGTTTCTATGTACTGTCTATCTATCTATCTATCTATCTATCTATCTATCTATTCATCCATCCATCCAATGTGTCCTTCATATTTCCAAAGAATTCACAGGCTAACAAAGATGAACATAAATTTTCAGGTAACTTAGAGATTTCTTGCTTTTTGTGGTTAGGTAAAATGAATTTCAGAGAAAAACCATCACTAAAGACACCCAAGGTCATACAGTAGGCTAGGTGCAAAGTTGGGTCCTCCTAGGAAAGGATGGCATCCATTACCAAGACATGCACATGGTTATATGGTTTTGAACAGTGAGTGAACGTGTAAAAAATGAGATACTTCTGTGAGGCAGTGATGTGGACTTGGGAGTTAATGTGCTTAGAAAGGTCAAGGAAGATCAAATGAGGGTGATCACGAATCAGAAATCTTGGTGTCTGATTGAGGTGTAAAGTTTAGGGCATGAGTGTGAGACCATTACAAGGTGCCCAGGAGAGAAGTGATATGGATTGAGGTAATGGTGCATGTGTTTAGTACAGGAACCATGTGGAGATGCTGAGATACTTAGAAAAGTAGGCAGGGCTTGATCTAAGAGTCACCATGGGAGCTAAAGAAAGGAACAGTACCAAAATGACACTACCTTCCTTGTTTGTCTTGCTAGAAAAATGTCGGTACTATCCTCTGAACTATAATGTTGGTACAGACCTCTGAAACAAGACCATATACTCAATTATATACATGACCATATACTCAATTTTGGACATGGTAAACTTTAAAATCCTTTTGAGGTTTCAAGAGAAGGTATAAAGCACATGCTTAATAAATGTCTTTTAAATAAGGGAATAAATGAATAGAAAACTTTAAAGATTCGAATTCATTGTCATCAAGTCAGAACTGACTCATACTTGAAACTATTGGGTTTCCGAGACTGCAAATTGCAGAGAGAAAATTCCCCTTCTTTCTCCCTTGAAGCCACTGGGTGTATTTGAACAGCCATAAGCGTGTGACCTTTGGATTAGCAACACAACTGCCTACAGACTATGATATGAATTCTTTCTCTAAAGAAATGTATTCCTTAAATATGTTAAAGCCACTCCATCAATATTAGTAATAATATTTCTCTATTTCAGAGGAGGATATTGAGATCCATTGTCTTCCTCAGGGTTAAACAATAAAATAACAGCATTAGGATTAGGATTTAGGAAGGCCTCATCACAAATCCAATGATCATAGCAGCTTTTGAAACTTGTTAATTTCTGCTTTATCCTCCAGGCCTTGGTTCCTTCAGATGATAAATGAAGGGAATTGTTTATGTGTTAGTGTTTGAATTTATTTACATTTTTGTCCAGGAAACTCTTTGATCAAACAAAGTCTTACCTTGGAGCTAGAATGTACCCAAGATGAAAGCAGACCCTCGTTGAGCAATGCTGAATAGCTGTTTTCCATGGGCTCTAAACCCAGTCTAAGAGCGCCTGGTGCATCAGTGATCTTGCATTCATAGGATCCTTCCCACGGCTTAAATGGAGCGGTGGATGCCTTAGCAACCTGTGCCCATTAGTCCATTTTATGTCCTGAGGAATTGATCAAAGAGAGAAGTTCATGCTGGAAATGTATTTATGACCATTATTTGACCTCAGACAAAAGGAACATTTGATAAAATTCTTTTTTCAGAGAGATCCTCTTGATTGCTTAAAAGCAGACATGTGAACATATAGCTAGCTGTGTGGGTAGGTAGCTGGAATCCTTAGAATTCAGTATGGGGAAGGAAGGGAAAGCACTCTGAGTGGGTGGGTTAGGAAACACAAAACTGAGAGGCTGCAGAATTCATGAACAGACCACAGAAACCGCACGTAGGCCACCTTTTCTGCCCACAAGGGCACGTGTCAGTTTTAGATGATCCTGTACTTTACCCATTTGAAATGACTTCACCTGTCAAGACAAATTTGTCTAGACATACACTCATCTGTAGCTTGTGCCTGAGTGTTTTCCTCCTTATTTTTAGCCTACTAGCACTAATGACCAGGTAATTTGGAAGAATTAATGATCAGGTAAAGGTAAAGGTCATTGATTTGATGGCGGCTAAGAGAAATAATGTTGGCCAAACAGGGCCTGGTTTACACATGTAAATAATGTATATCTTTTGCCCTTCTAATTTTAGACAAGAAAATCAAAGCATTCAGCTTTGAAGTTCCGTTTTCTCCTCTGGCCCATATTTGGCCCACATTGAAAAGAACCCACTTGAAGTTCAGCGGAGTCCTCTGTATTGCATGTTTCATTTGGGAGGAGAATGAGCACAGTTAAAAACAGCACAGGGTCATCACGTCAGTCCCTGCCTCCTACCAGCTCACAGAATAAATCAGTGTTATCTCAGTCTTCTGAGGCTGTTACATGAGTGTGTACTGTGCACAGTACCTCCCTCTCAACTCTTGGACTATGCTATTTCACAGATGGGGAAACTGAGGTCTGAGCCCTACAACTGAGGCAAAATCCTTTGTCTCTCATCATTCCTTGGCTGTTGTTCCTGTAGAAAGTCATTTTCTCACTTTGAGCCCCAACTTCCCACGTGTACCATGAGAGAAATGAACTAGACCGTTTTCAGAAGCACATGCTGACACTTTGTATTTACTGTCCCAAACTGAGGCTGGAACCACCTGGAGGTCCGAGAGCATGTCCAGCCTTAGCCTGGAATTTTCCCAAAATGGGAAGTGGTGTTAGATGTTAACCCTTGCATAACTTCTGAATTATGCAAAGGCAGGTGGAGCCATTTTCAGATCTCTCTCAAATGTGCAGATTACAGTAGAGAGAAAGTTTCAATTTGATGCTAATATGCTTTTAACACCCCTCTCCCATTTGCTAATTTCTGGCGTTTCAAAGTGAAAGCAGACTCCAGAGTTGATCATGGAACAACAGTATCTGGCTAGAATAGATTAACATTCTTTTCATTATAGGATCCCTGGTGGCACAGTGATTAAAGCACATGACGGCTTACTAGTGGGCTGCTGTTTCAAACTCACCACCCCTTCCACTAGGGAAGGATGTGGTATTTTGTTCCTGTAAAGACTTAGAGTCATAGGGACCCTATAGAGCTGTTCCTCCCTATTTTATTGTGTCATTATGAATCAAAACTGACATCTTAGCAATGGCTTTCCATCATATATCTTTATAAAACTACCATTCTCCTAAAGGCATGTGATACTGGTTTCCCATATAGAAAGAGTAAGAAATTTGGATTGGTTTTTTTTTTTTTTCATTTTAAAATAAAAAAGTTAATTTATTTAAAGTAACTATTGAGCAAATAATAAGTACTGATGATATGTGAATATCATTTTAATGATGGTAGTCAAATGGCAGACATTTAAAATCCTTGGGTCTTCGTTATCTCTACTGCTGCTGTAATGCAAATACTGAGGCTTAAAAAGTGAGAGGTGGTTTTCCCCCCATAGTTCTGGAGACTAAATGTTCAAATCAAATTATGTGGATTCCGTCTGTGAGTCTTTCTCTTGGTTTTTAGAGTTTGTTAGTAATCCCTGGAATTCCATGATGTCTATCTTCCTGTGTGTGTCTCTGTATCTATCTTACTTTTTAGATAATCCATTATTAGGTTTACCGTCCTATTCCATATAGCCTCACTAATATAATAAAAGAAAACTCTCATTTCTTAACAGGGCCATATATATAGGTACAGGGATTAGGACTGTAACATATGTTTTAGGGAGACACCATTCAATCCATAAAAACCCTATCAAAGCAGAGGTATAGAGTTCTAGTTCAATCCTGTGATAATAGCAAAGTACAAGAACCATGTACATTAATTAAAATGTGTTCCCTTGAACTCTGGTGGCCTAGAAGCTGCACTGCAACAGAGGTACATGGTTCAAATCCACCAGATGCTCTGCTGGAGAAGGAGGGACAGTCAGATCCGATTTGATGGTACACACATATTCAAATAATAATAATAATAATGTGTTCTAAGTGGAACAAGCTCAGCTATTGCATGGTTCTTTTGGCTGTCACAGAACTGTGGGGGCCTCATGGGTAAGGAATTGTGCTGCCAATCCAAAGGCAGATCATTTAAATGCACCAACTGCTCCATGGAGGAAGGAAGACAATCTCCTTGTATGTTATTTACAGCCTCTGAAGCCTGCTAGAGAGTCAGTTTTGACTTAATTCTTACTCAACAGCAACATACACCTTAAAGAAGTCAGGGGGTTTTTTTGCAAGCCTGGTTTATTGATTGGTCACTGACTCACTGGCTGTCAAGCCAATTCCCATGCATTGCAACCCTCCACTCAGTTTCCTGTATATTTTTACAGGAAGAGACTGTCCACCTTTCTCCTGAGGAGCACTTTGGGGGGTTGAACTTCAAACTTCCTATGAGCAGCCTGACTTCTTATGCGCTATGCCACCAGCTCTGCTTAAGTGTTTGTGATGCCCTCATAGGTAGGAGGCAATGCTCAGTCCTTCATTCTTGTTCTTTGTCTCCTGCTAGATGAGTTTAAGTCATTTATGAAGCGCCTCCCCAGCAACCACTTCCTCACCATCGGGAGCATCCATCAGCACTGGGGGAATGACTGGGACCTGCAGAACCGCTACAAGCTCCTGCAGAGTGCCACGGAAGCGCAGAGGCAGAAGATTCAGCGCACTGCCCGGAAGCTCTTTGGCCTCAGCGTCCGCTGCCGCCACAATCCCAACCACCAGCTGCCTAGAGAGAGGTAATTGCTGCTCCCACAGCTCACCTTTCCGGGCACTCACCTGGTGCCACCTTAGATTTGGTTGTCGCACAGGTAAATACGATGGCGACAATGTGTTAGATGTTGGTAACCAAGCCTTGTCTCGTCCAGTCAAACAATTATCTGGTTCTTTGGGTTCTCTTCTGGTGCCTCTGAATGTACTGAGTGTCTCCTTGTTTCTAGGATCTACCACAAACGTTCAGTGTTTGCATTCTGTCTGACTGAGGAAGGGAGCTAACAGGAGCCCTAAATGCTACTTAATGTTCTGTTTGCTTAAAATGTGTTATTTATTTAATGTAGAAACAACTCAGCAGAACAGATTTTAACATCGCAAAGGTGAAGCAGTTGAGTTAACCCAACAATCAACTTATTTATTGGGTCTTTTGATCTGTAATTAGGGGTAGAGCAAGGTTCGTGGTACCTCACACGCCAATGGTCAGTGGTCCTGAGGAGCCATTCATTTTTTCTTCAGGTCATGTTAGTGCATGACCTTCACTTGAGAGTGAGTCCCTCCTTGACTTGTGCATCCTAGGGACCTCTCTTATCCCAATTTCTTCCCAGCCTTGCTTCTGATGTACCTAGTACTGTGGAAATTAATGGTAATCAGAGAGCTGAACAAGACAGGGCCTTGTTTCACACAGTGTATGGTTTATCCACTTTCTCGGGGATCCACAGGAAAGGAGCTAATATTCGACTCCAACTGGATCAGACTCCATTTTCAGAATTGAGTTCTCTGTCATGTGCCTCTGATATGCCCATGAGGTTATCCTCAGAGACCACCCAAGAAGGCAGGTCTGTGAGCTGTCTACCTTGCATCAGCCAGAGCAACTAGATTTCTGTCCTGTTCCTATTTAAGAGCTCTGCATTCAAATTATTTGAAGAAAAGAGTAGAACAGCTTCTAAATGGCGTACTGTAGGGTCACATCCATTTAGCGTGCCCTGGATCACTGCATAATTATGTTCTTGATGCTGCGTGATTCCTACTCTCATTATAAATACAGGAAACTGAAGCTCAGAGAATTCAACTAGTTGGTACAATGCTCCAGTGTCAGTTGTTGGTTCATAATTAAGGGCTGTGTTGTTACTCGGGGTCAGTTGACAATGTCTGAAGACATTTTTGGTTGTCACTACTGGAGAAAGTTTGTTAGTATCTAGTGAGTAGATCCTAGGGACGCTACTGGATGTTCGATAATGCACTAGTCAGTCCTTACCACAAAAAATTATCTGATGAAAAACATCACAACTGCTGAAGATCAGAAACACTTAAATAAACGAAAAAGACAACATGACACTTAACTCCATAAATCTAAAACCTATGCTCTTAAACACCTTCCTGTACTATCATTTAAGGTTTATTAAAACCAAACACCACTTTCTGCTAAGTAATTTGTTTGCAGTCCAACCACTTCTACCCTTGCATCCATTTTCCTCAGCCCAGTTCAAATGCTGGTTCTTCCATGAAGTTGTCCCTGATTGCACAAGCCAATAAAGAAAGATCTCTACTAAGTTCCCATTAGTTTAAAAATCCAGCTTGTTCTGCGTACTTGTGCGTGCCTATCTCTGTGTCCACCATGTCCTAAATCCCTAGATCTACTTCTTTGCACTTAGTTTGTTGTAATTGTTTGGAGACTCAAAGAGATTTTTAGTTTTTTACATTAGGACTATTCTCAGCCAGAATAAGCTGTTACTTCCTCTAGCAAAGATGTTGAGAAAGGAAAATAGCCTAGCCACACAGTGCCTACCTGTATGTATCACCTGCCACAGATTCTCAGACTGCCCACACAGGTAAGTGTCGATTCCACTTACATCAGTCTGACTTCTTCCATGTGACCTGCACTGAGCACAGGGGAGAGTCAGAAATAAACACAGCCTAAGCCTGGCCTTCGGAAAGCACATTCTACCAGGGATCCAGTGCTGTGTATCTTTCTACCTGATAAAAGATGGCATTTAGAGGGAGCGTGGGTGCATTCAATTGGCAAACACTCCACACAAAAGGTGGCCGTAGATAAAGACACCCAGTGTCCCAGAATTGACCTGCTTGGAAAGAAGGGCCGTGTTTAATCATTGTCAGATGGCAAAGAGATACTTTTGTTAGTTTTATCCATTAGTCAATTTTGGTGCTTGTCACACTCAGAGAACAGAGGGGGAAAAAAACGACAAGGGAATGGGACCCTGGGCAGCCAGTTTTTATAGGTAAGTGTAATTCCCAGAGCACAGTAACCACCCAGACATGGCAGCTCCAAGGAAGACCTGGAGGGAATCCAGACAGAGTGGAGCTAGACAGGTGTGGCCACACTGACCCACTGCTGTAGAATGGAGTCTCTCACAAAGCGACTCTATGGGATTTCTGAGATGGTAAGCTTTTTGAAAGGAGACTGCTCATCTTTCTCCCAAGGAGTCACTGTTAAATTTGAACCAGTGACCTTTGAGTTAGCAGCCTGACTCATTACACAGTATGTCACTGGAAGAGGACAAGATTGAGGAGTGGGAGGAATAGCGGCACAGACTTGGGAGCCCTGGTTTGGGTTCATGCTGTATCATCCACAAGCTGTGTGGCCCTGAGTAAATCATTTCCCTATTCTGAGTGCATATGTGTGCATATGTGGCTAAGTCTTCCTGTGCGAGTTATCAGGTATAATCAGCGAGAACTCTCCTACTGCCCCTGGGACCTTCAAAGAGAGAATGCACAGCACTGCCTCGTGGCCTCCTGACATGAGAAAACTTGCCCTGATCATAACATTTCTTCTCCACTTACCTGGAGAGGAAGCCTGCAATGCCACCATTAGCAAGTCACTCAGCTGTACTCACTTAATGAGTATTGACTGCTGGTGACTGGGATCGTGAGGGGGGGTGGGGGCCCAGAAACTAGTCTCTGTCTCTCGTTGCTCTGAAGCCCTCCCAGGAGAGCTGAACTGCCTGGCCTGGCTGTGGGCTGCATCCTGACATCTGAATCCGAGGCTTTAATGAGCATCTCTCACACTGGTAGGGCACCTCTCTGCCACAGAGCTGTGTCAGACAGAGGTGCTAACACTGGGGACCTTGGTCCACCTCTCGCTCAGCGAGCTAGAATTTGCAAATGAACTGCTTTCTCGGCTTCTGTTTGCCAGCTTGCTGGACCCTGTGGGAAATCACTCCACTAAGCATGTGCCACTAATCCCCACAGGTGTCACCAAGATTTTCATGTGTCTTAAAAAAGGGTGGCGCTGCTGAGGTGATGGGAGACAGAGAGAGAGAGAGGGGGCTTTCACCTCATGTGAACTGGCCCAAAGCCTGGCCCAGTCATTTAACAGCTCCAGGGCTTTTTGTAAGTTCTTATATCTCATTTCCAAAGTTAAATAATAACACTTACCTTTCAGGTCCCAAACCCAACACCCCACACTGCTGGCAAGTGGATTCTGACTCCTTCCATCAGGTTTCCAAGGCCTGAAGACATTGTTAGTTAAATTTGCATACCATCATTCCTATACACTGTGTTTCATTCATGGACAGTGTTTTATATGATCTATCATTTACATTGTGTTTCATACACTCATACGTATATGTTGTATTTTATGTAATTAATTACTGTTGCTCTCTGCCCATTATTCACCTGTCATTTTGAGTCTGCGCTGAATCTTTCCTATTCCTTCATTCCCTCATCCATCCTAGTGATTTGCACCCTTCCCTTTTTTCTGCCCCTTCCCCTTTTCCTCTTTTGGACATTTATACACATCTAACTAGTTACGATTTGAGTGAAACATCAAAAAGCAGCTTGGTTTTTCATTCAACCATTTACACACCTTTCATTTTATAACATTAATTACAGTACCAGTGATCTCACTGCTCTTTTCACTCTTCCTCCCTGTAATTCTTATTTCCATTAATTCCTTCTACCCTTTCGTGCCTTCTGGGGTTTTTTCCCATAGCCAAATGTTGCTCTTTTGTGAGGTTGTAAGTCTTTTTTTTTTTAATTTTTTTTAGTTTAATGAACATTTACAGGGATTTTGGGTTTTCATTCCCTTATTGCTGCACCATTCTCTCCACCCTCCTCCCCAGTCCGTTCCTCTTCCCCCGCCATCCGAATGTCTGTTTTAATTGTCCAATTGCCACAGTGCTTGTCAAAGTCAGTTATGATTAATCTCCTTTGTCAGTGTGTCCCTTGCCATTCCCTATCACTCCTCCCTGAGAAAGACTTCACCCTGATTCATAAGGAAAAGGGGATGGCGTATTCTCTTAGCTACTTCCTGCTGAAAAGGGACTCTGTGGGTTTCAGGGTGAAGATCTTCTCTTACTACTCTAAAGGGCCCCTTTGGCAGTAGGAAACACATAGACTATTATGGAGATTGATTTTGGAATTTAGATGCACTGTTATTAATTGTGCTTAGCCGTACATGTTCATATCCTTGAAGATGTATCATGGGGGTGTTGCAACCTAGAAGACACAAATTTAACTAACAATTTATAAGTACATGAGTCAAAAATTATGGGAAAATAAAAGAAAAGATTCTTTCATTGTTTTACAAACCCTTCCCCAGGTCCCCTCTACTCAAAAGAGCGGCTGGTGGATTGGAACTGCAGGCATTTAGTTTATAGCGTGAGAGATTACATACTACACTACCAAGACACTCCTTTCTGGTTGGGTGAGAAGATTAAGCTTTCAAAATTTAAAATACTCTGTAAAGTGTCTGACAGGGAGAGATAGAGGAGAGAGAGAGACAGACCTTCCACTTAATGTATGCTTTTTGTAGGCTGGCCACTGTTCTTACCATCTTATGTTAATTAACTCATTATCTCCTCACCACAATCTTATGAACAAGGTACTCTTAGTATCCTACTTTACAGCTAAAGGAGCTGAAGCTGAGGGAGTACAATAACGTGCCAAGGTCAAGAAATGATAATTGATTTTATAGTTATTTCAAAGAATTGTTTACTGGTAAGATTTAGTGAGAGGTCAAATATAGATCATTGGAGCTTGGCTTCAAGACTTGCTGGAATTTCTGTAT